GTACTGTTTCCTTCATCAAAGAAATCTTGTTTTAAGAAAAATGTCTGCTGAACCAAACAGTGTGCTCAGAGACATCAATGATTTACATTCTGGTCTAAACTTCTTACCTCATTGAAGACTGGTAACAGTTTGCAGATTGACAGCCAGTCTATGAACGATATTGAGCATCACTGCTGTACAATACCTACGTGTGGCAATCAAATTGGATCATTGCATAGCTAATCCAATTGTCTCTTCATTCTTCATAATAACTATTGTTATTGGCTCGTTCATTGTAGGTGATCATCACCAGTTTGAATGACTTAAATACAAGTGTTGCGCCTATGTAAATTGGAGTCCTTGGGATGAAGACTAATTGGCAATGTATGTTTTCTCTGATAGGGATTCCTCAGTGTAATGATTTTTTTTCTCTAAGTCATAATATGGAGATCAGACCTACAGAGGTGGCTCCTAGTAGGAGAATACTGCTATACGAATGCTTTAAAAATGGGAATTGAGTCATTATAGAAAGTGGTAGGATTCAGTGTTGTAGTTCTAGAAGAAGTAAGTTTAACAGTGTGCTATCCTAAATCAAATATTTCTCTTGACTCTGTTGCTGGAGAGACATGGAAAAAATCAATATATAATAAGATATTGATATGCTTTTTGTGTTTTAAGAACTTCCATGTGATTGATGGATATGTTTTTCTGGATATGGTTTCTGATGTCTATCTAATTGGCCATTAGACTTTTCTCTGTCAGAAACCACGAGTAATGCCATGTTGTCAGTGGCAGCATGTAGAATTGGATGGGGTGTTCCTAACATCTTTTTAAAAAAATATATATTTTATTGATTTTTGATTAGCTACCTCCTGCACACCCCCCACTGGGGATGTGCCCACAACCAAGGTACATGCCCTTGACCGGAATCGAAGTTGGGACCTTTCAGTCCACAGGCTGATGCTCTAACAACTGAGCCAAACTGGTTAGGGCCTGACATCTTTTTTGTTACATTCCTATTATAGTGAATTTTATGAGGTCATGGTTTTTTCTGGAACATCTTTAAGATTAAGATTGTTAGTCCTTGGGAAGACATGATGTACTTTATAAGAAAGAATGTAATTTTATTATACTATTAGACAAAACTTCTCTAAATATCAATAAAATACTATGTTTCAGGTAAAAGATTCATGGCTGAGATTCATTCTAGGAATCTATCATAATATATAGAATGGTTTGAAATTATATACATATTCTTAATGGAAAAACCCTACTTTATAATCATTTTGATTACAAACCTTAATTATGAAATGAATAACTGTGGGCAATCCTACATACCCACTGACATTCTTTAAATAATTCTACATCCTTGCCAGTCACATTGCCAAAGTGAAGGGTTGCAAACTAATGTATTCTGTCAATGGAGTTAGTATAGAACTTGAGTAATTCTTCTGTCTTGGATATAGGTAAAGCCTTAGAAAAATATAAATCCTGGAATCACATAGAATAAACTAGCAACACTAGGGAAAAAAAAAAATTCCTGTTCATTGCAGTCTAGTTTCTTTTTTAATGCCACCAGATGTCAGTATAACCACAGGACCGGAGAAGTATTGCAATAGATAAATGGCTTATGACTATCTCCTGTCTGATTGGCACTGGGCATAAAGGGGGATGAGATACAGTTTCTTTCCTCAAGAATACTTTTTAATGGATTAGGTGGCCAACAACTAGGAAGCTTGAGTCTGTTTTTAAAAAAAATAAACTTCTATTGATATATATCATATATTGTTATAGTATGGTTCCTCCTCCTCCTTCCAATGTGGTAAATCTGTATTATAAAAGGCCCATGGCCGAAATGCCCTAAATTCTTTTCATTGAGCACCTCTTGGTCCCTCCCCCGGGTCCGAGAGCAGCAGCTCTCGCTGTAGGCTGGGCTGGGCAGGGCACAAAGTCGGAGGGCTATTTGAGTGTCGAGTGTCAGAGGGTGGGGCAGCTAGCTATGAGCAGTAATGGGCAGGCGGCCAGCTGAGGCCAGAGGATGTGAGCTACTCCTGCTCTGGGCCTCTAGCTGGTATAGAAGGACAAAAGCTTAATTCATTTTTTCCAAAGGAGAGGCTTTGGTAGTAGATGCAAGCTCTAAATAAACTTTGGTAAACTACCGTTTCTTAATTATTAACCATTAAATTTGTCTTAGTTTGAAATAATTAGTAAGAGCTATAAGAATGTTATTTACCTGCTTATGTGTTTGTTTCACTAGAGATTCAGAAATCAGATATCTTAATGTATTTATGATATTAAAGTGAAAACAACTTTTGTCTCTGACTTCATAGTGTACTTAATAATCAAAACACATTTTTCCAACTTTCATTTTTATAAGGTCAGGTTAACTCATGAAAAACAAACTTATCTTCATCCTGCTTCATATATCACCACTGACAACCTGATAATCTTGAGCTCAGGGTCTGGCAGTAGAATGATTTTTGCCAGCAATCACTGATAATGATATATGAATTGGATATGAAACAGATTTTCTTCCTTTTCTATTATGACCTCCATCCAAAATTAGATTGACTTTAGATTGATTATAGAAAAATAACAGCTTGAAAAACTGTTGTTTCCCCCCCTGGTATAGTGCCCTTGAATGTTAACTTAGAAATAAGATTTATTGAACTTCTTCTACAGTGGTGCTATCTCAGCCATGGTGTTTAAATTTCTGAAACCTTCCAAGATAAAAAAATTCTTCAGTAAAGAACTTCTGACAATTCTTATGAAGGAAATAAGTATAAATTCAATATGCAAAGTTAAGAGAATATCAATGGCATGTTATCTTCAATAATAATGAGTAAATTTATTATTTTATACTATAAGTATTTTATTTTCCTATTGTTATGTCTGTATTAGCATTTTTCAAGTCTGGCCCTTAATCTGAATGTTTAGTGCCTCTCTAATATTTAACTGAGAATTGATGATTCCTGCCTCCTACTGCAGTAGAAGATTCAGAAAAACTATATGCTTGAAATAAAATTTAAAAATCTTGTTTTTTCTTTCCTGTTACCAAGTACATGAAGTCAAACTTCATACACATCTCTGCTCTATCTTTTCATAGATGCTGATATTTAGTCAAACTTATAATTCTAACAAGTCATTGTAATAGCCTCATTCATACCTACAATATTTACAATATACCTCATTTACTTAATGGTGTATGGTTATATGTGTAACATTTTATTAAGCGCTATATAGCTTTCTTCTGGCTTTTTTTTTTTTTCTTCTTCTTCTTTCATTAACTCCTACAGAGGAAAGTTTTGTGGTAGGTAGCATTCTGGAAAGTTTGGCCCCACGTGTTTGTTCTGTCAACCTAAATAGCATTACACCTATATTTACCCTCACTCGGTAGGATTTATAAACTGTTACATATACATGATATTAGACTACAATATCTTGTACTAATGTTAAGTTAGATATATGTAAAATAAAAAAATAATAATTTCCTGCAACTAGTAAAAGGGCACATGATTTTTAGGTATTTAGAGGCATGCAAACTATTCCTTCAAAGGATCTACTTTACCAGCAACTTGGGAGCCATTATTATTTTCTTATTTATTTTTAAATTAAGTGTATTGGGGTGACATTGATTAGTAACATTGCATAGTTTCAAATGTACAATTCAGTAATAATATGTCTGGTTATCTCATTATGTGTTCGCCACTCAAAGTCTAATCTCCCTCCATCACCATAAATTTTCCCCCTAAACTCTTTATCCTGCCCCCCTCTGGTAACTACTCATCTGTTGACTGTGTTTGTTTGTTGCTTTCTGTTTTATATCCTATATATGAGTGAAATCACATGGTTCTCCTTTTCCATCTTACTTATTTTGCTTAGCATGATACTGCCTCAAGATTCATCCATGTTGTTACACACAGCAGTGTTTCATTCTTTCTTATTGGCTGTGTATGAACCATATCCTCTCTAATCATTCATTGGAAGATAGGAGGTTGTTTCTATATCTTGGCTACTGTGCATAATGCTGCAATGAACATAGGAGTTTATATATCCTTACGAATAAACATTTTCAAAAATTTCAGGTAGATCCTAGGAAGAGGATTGCTGGGTCATATAGCTCTATTCTTAATTTCTGGAGGAACCTCCATACTGTTTTCCAAAGTGGGAATCTTTAGTTTCAGTTACTATAGTTAAATAAAGTGTACTTCTTTAGCAACATTCTTCAGTTTATCTAGAGTCCCCTTTTAATTTAAATAAGCAAAGTTTTTTCTATATTTTAAATTTTAACCATAATTGCTGTTTATAATGTCAAAAACATCTAAGATGCAGAACTTGCACTATTACTCCTTCAACTGTCAGTAGCTTTTGTCATTTTATTTTTTAAAAATAGATTTTTATTGATTTCAGAGAGGAAGGGAGAGGGGGAGAGAGAGATAGAAACATCAATGATGACAGAGAATCATTGATTGGCTGCCTCCTGCACGTCCCACACGGGGGATGAAGCCTGCAACCCGGGCATGTGCCCTGACCAGGAATCGAACCGATGACCTCTTAGTCCTGGGCCAACGCTAAACCGCTGAGCCACACCCGGCTGGGCTGTCATTTTTGATCAAATGGTAATGATGGGAAACCTTTCAATCCTTGTAAGACTGTATCTCCTGACCTGCTCATTCCATTCTCCCCTCAGTAGCATTTTAACAAAATGGAAGCATATTGTCTTCATTATTAGAAAGAATAAATGTTTGCTTTTTGCTTCCGTTTACTCTATCTTTTAAAATATAATTGGAAATAATTTGTATATGCACAGAAAGGATGTAGATATTAATGGGGTTGGCCTAAGACAATTGTGATAAATGTTTTGGCATTGCATAGGGAGTATGTGTTTTGATTTGTTGATAGGAATGGTCACAGCATTGTGAGTTTCGAGGTGAATAAATGATGAGAATATCACCAAAGTGTCCAGCCCTACAAACATGACTTTCTACTGACAGTAATTTTTTTTGACTGCTATATCGCAGCTGTTGAAAATGGACGGATGGATGTGTTAAGGCTGTTGCTTCGATATGGAGCAAATGTTAATGGATCCCATTCTATGTGTGGATGGAATGCCCTGCACCAGGCTAGTTTTCAGGTAACTTCTGAATTTATTATTTCATCTTCATGTAAATTGTATGTTTTACCCTTTTAAAATGACAGTTCTATACAGTTTTTACTTCCCACTTGTCTGTGATTTATGATGGTTAGTGCAGTACAGAAAAGGCAGTCTAAATGCTAATGATCATTCTGAGTAAACCAACTGCTCTAGTAGTATCTGCAGCTTTGGGTGACAGGGATTATCTAAAGTTTCAAATGTTGATAGCATAGTTAAGAAACCATCAGAATACTTGGGATATAAATTGATAAGGAGCAATGACTTATTCTATGTATAGCAAAGTGTTTAGAAACTATGATAGCTCCTTAGTGTTTGGGCTAGCAAACTATTTTTTTTTTTTGCAGGATTTTATAAGAATTATAATTTCTAGAGATCAGTGTTTCATCTATTAATGTTTAATGGGTTTGTAAAGATATAGAATAATCTGATAGTTTAAGACTTCCTTCCCACAATCCAACTTTCTAAAAAGAGGTTTTCCTTTATAGAGGATAAAAACAAACTGAACAAAACACAATAATAAGAAAAGAGATACCTTCTATTTTCTCTTATTTAAAATATAAATCTGTGCTTTAGGAAAATACTGAGATCATAAAATTGCTTCTTAAAAGAGGAGCAAGCAAGGAATGCCAGGATGACTTTGGAATCACACCTTTATTTGTGGCTGCTCAGTATGGCAAGCTAGAAAGTTTGAGCATACTTATTTCATCAGGTAAGATTAACCCATTATCCTTTGGACTTTAAAGATCATGAGTTTTGACTGTATGTTTTCCTAGGAGGAAGAATTCTTGACCAGATATAAATCAGGTTGTGAAATTTATGGTTTTATGTTAGTGGTAAATAAGGGAACATACAAGTTTATTTATTTATATTTTTATTTTTGTTAATCCTCACCCAAGGATCGATCTTTTTATCTTTCTTTTCTTTCTTTCATACTTTCTTTCTTCCTTTTTTTTAAAAAAAAATATATATATATTTTATTGATTTTCCACAGAGAGGAAGGGAGAGGGATAGAGAGCTAGAAATGTCAATGAGAGAGAAACATCGACCAGCTGCCTCCTGCACACCCCCTACCGGGGATGTGCCCTTGACCTGAATCAAACCTGGGACATTTCAGTCCGCATATTGATGCTCTATCCATTGACCCAAACCGGTTTCGGCTCTTTTTTTTTTTTTTTTTTTTTTTTTTTTTAAAGGGAGTGGGAGAGAGGGAGAAGAAACATTGATGTATAGAGAGACACATCAATTAGTTGCCTCCCTCATGTGCCTCCATGAAAGCTGGGATTGAACCTGGAACTGGGTACGTGCCCTTGACTGGGAATTGAACCTGAGACCCTTTGGTGCATGGCTGATGCTCTAACCATTGAGAACACTGGCCAGGGCTACAAGTTGACTTATAAGCCTGGTTACTTAGTGTCTATTACTAACATGATGCAATGTACAGCTACTAATTTATCTGAGAAGAACATAATGATCTTCCAAGGTTTTTTGGAAGTTGAATCAGGGGGCTGTCCTTCTGTATAGGGACCTGAGCAGTTACAACTTTCTACAGTAGAAGGCTATATTAAGATTAATAAATTTATTATGTAGCTTTTTTATATATTAAGCCTTTGAGCTCTATGTTTCGATCAATTGTATGATTATTTAAAAGGATTTATTTCTAAGTATGTTTATACTTTATTGTGTTAATAGCAACATAAACCTGCTGAAGGCTTCTCCTTGACATTTTCCTTGACAAACATTATATATTCAGCATTGTCAGAGAAGATGATGTAGGATGGCATTTTTACTCTGTGTGACACTTCTGTGACCAGAAACATTTGTTTGTAGGGTTTTTAAATTTCTCCAAACACCACTTATGCCCTCACGAGTGCTAACCTGATAAAGCACCATAGTTAGAGCAGAAGGGAAATACACCAGTTTTGCCACAGGCAAATTAAAAAGTTTTTTAAAAAATTACATTAAATATAAATGTTAAAAATATATTGTGCTTTTCATATACCTCCTGTGACATCTACAAAGGTTCATAATTTAGGGTTTGTTTTTAAAAAAAATCTTTTTCAGCAATTATCAGAAATATCCATTTTGATGGTTTCCCTTTTACCTTTTTAAATGATTTATTGGGACCATAGAGTGCTTGTTGGAGGAGGAATTGGGATGAAATGAAGCCTTTACTAACTAAGAATTTTATTTTAATGTAAAAATGAATTCTAAAATATTAATAACTTGTTTTCTTGCCAAAATAAAAGCAAAAACAATTTACATGATTACCAGCAAGTTAGGTAAATCAATATGTTTATAAAACAGAATCCACTGAGGGGAGGAAATTAGTTGTACAGTTGACCCTTGTACAGTGTGGGGATTAAGGGCTCTCACTTTTCTCCATGCACAGTTGAAAATCTGCATATAACTTTGATTCTCTCAAAACTTACTACTAATAGTGTACTGTTGGCCGACAGCCTAACTGATAACATTAACAGTTGATTAATACATATTTTTTCTTTTATGTGTTATATATACTGTATCCTTACAATAAACTAAGCTAGAGAAAGGAAATGCTATTAAAATCAAAAGAGAAAATACATTGTGCCAAAACTGGTTTGGCTCAGTGGATAGAGCGTCGGCCTGCGGACTGAAGGGTCCCGGGTTCGATTCCGGTCAAGGGCATGTACATTGGTTGCGGGCACATCCCTGATGGGGGGTGTGCAGTAGGCAGCTGGTCGATGATTCTCTCTCATTGATGTTTCTAGCTCTCTATCCCTCTCTCTTCCCCTCTGTAAAAAAAAAAGAAAAAGAAAAAAGAAAAAAGAAAATATATTGCCCATACTGGTATTGTATTAATTGATATTGTGGCATTATATCATTCTATATAATAATAGAGGAATATTCAAATTGTCCATTACACTGGAACGTCACAAAGGATTGCAGGAGGCTGCCTGCGCACGCGCAGCGGGGTGTTGCTCGGGAGACGGGGCAGAAGCGAGGAGGCGCCCAGAGGAAGCGGGACCGTGGTCAGGAGAGGAGGGCAGGGGTGAGCGCCCATAGCGCCCCCCTCACCGATCCTTTGCCACCCACCGCTCGTACTCAGAGTGCCCCGTCGCCCACCTGCCAGGGGAAGGAGCGAAGTGCAGCTGGTGGGAGGCTTCCATGCTCTCCTCCGGTGCCATGATGAGGAGCCACCGCATTGCTCTGGAGTTGGGGCCCAAGCGGGAAGGCAGGTGAGACCAGCCCAAGGCGACTCAGGCTGAGGGCGGGGCTTGAAGCGGCCCGAGAAGGCCAAAGGGGTCAGGGATTGGGCCAGGCACGCTGTGGCTCTGTGTGGAGAGGTTCAGGTGTCAAGGTAGGGCGGCCGATTTCGTGCCCTGGGCTCCTAGTCTGTTTATAAGATGGAAAAAAATCTGCATGTAATTGGGACTCCAGCAGTTCAAACCTGTATTGTTCAAAGGTCAGTTGTACTTTGAAACCCTTTTAGGGAAGCTGCTTTGAAATTTATGTTTATTATCATGTATTGTTGTGGGTTGTTTTTTTGCCCCACAAGTGAGGATTATCTGTTAAATGTTTTATTTTGTATTAGGTGCAAATGTCAATTGTCAAGCCTTGGATAAAGCTACTCCCTTGTTCATTGCTGCTCAGGAGGGCCACACAGAATGTGTGGAGCTTTTGCTGTCCAGTGGGGCAGATCCTAATCTCTACTGTAATGAGGACAATTGGCAGTTGCCTATTCATGCAGCCGCACAAATGGGCCATGCAGAGTAAGTGTTAAAAATGGAAAATACAAATGATCTCATGATTAAAAGGTAATAAGGAATAATTCTTCTGGGCCAGACCTATTACCTCCAGATAAAATCCTTGCTATTTCCCTTCTCCACCTTACTGCTAATTGACCATGTCCACCACCACCTCTGATTCCCAGGCCATCCATAGTTCCTCTTAATCATGGACTTTCCTAGTGTAAGGCCTGCGCAGTGGCTGGTAACGGGGTGACGCAGCAGCTTTCTCAGGGTGTTAAGTCTTCCCCCTGATTTCGCAAGCTATGCCCATACTCTTCTGCTGTTCTCTAGATTTATCCAAGGTGTCTTTAGTTAACTCTATGGTAGCTTTATTCAACGTCCTTGTACTTAGCTTATCTCCTTGATCCCAGAAAGTTTTTGAGTTTGTGATCTCTGTTGGAGTCTAGTAGTTCTTTTGTGTGTTCAGGACAGTTCTCCCATCTTGAACCCTTTGATTAGACTTCTGTCTTATCAAACCTCAAGTCCAAACCAGTATTTTTTCCTACTTATATTACTCTTCTTGGTAGCCAAAAGTTCTCATGAAATTAGGGTATTTTATGGAAAGACTAAAATATGGTTGGAACTCTCTGAAATTGGGGGTTCCAGGAATTTTGGAAGCTTAATAATCTGGTTATACAGCCAGCAGCTTATCTTAATGTAAATTGGCACTAAATGGATTTTTAAAATATATGCTTATAGTTTTTAGAGTCATAATTCTACAAGTATAACTTCATAGCTATTGTTAGCATTATTTAATTTAACAAACAATAGTGAAGTTGTCAGTATGTTTGCATAGAACATATTGTGCAATTTGGTTCTTATGCCAATAGGTGGCATGGTATTTTACCATTTCTTTAAAGATATATGTAGGCATGTTTGTGTCTCCTCTAAGAGTGTTTTTCCAACCCATTTTAAAAAAATTAAATACATGATTAAGTTTAAAACATTTATACATATTGTTTATTTTAACAAAATATTTAGGTTTTAAAATTTGGTATTTTTCTTAATTCTTGATTGTTTATTTAAACATAAATTTAGGTACAAGTATATTCTGAGTTTTAAATTGATACCAAAACTCCCATGAAGTTGTCCTCATTTATTCTCAAATTTGAGAATTCTGTTTGTCACTGATGATTTCCTCTATAGAATACCTCTAAGGTAAATTCTATGAATATAAATTATTCAATACTATTATTATTTTGGGCCTACCTTACATAAGGAAAAGTACCAGAGAGAAAGAATGTACTTTGAAATAGCCCTTTCTCCAGAAAGAGGGAGAATTTATTGGCTTTCATGATCTTTAGTTTTATTTTTAATTTTAGAAAAGTAGACTAGTTTTCCCCCCCCAGCTGATTGCTAGAGGTAAGTTTACAATAGAAAAACCTCTATCTTAATGATTTCCTTTAATACTTTTGTTATCAACCATTTTCTTTATAAATCTGCCCCAGTGTTTAAAGAGCTCATATTTTTTTTCAGAGAATAGGATGTTTTAGCAGAAATACTAATTTCCTCCTGATGAAAATACTATTCATTTCCTGTTACTTGAGAATTTAAAAAAAAATTCTCATTATATACAAAAAGAAAACTTTAGTTTGTATTTTAAAAAGGAAAAATTTTACTTTTTTTAAAAAAGTATTTTTAAAAATATATATTTTTTATTGATTTTTTACAGAGAGGAAGAGAGAGGGATAGAGAATTAGAAACATCAATTAGAGAGAATCATTGATCAGCTGCCTACTGGGAATGTGCCCACAAGCAGGGTACATGCCCTTGACTGGAATTGAACCTCGGACCTTTTATTCCGCAGGCCAACGCTCTATCCACTGAGCCAAACCGGTTTCGGCAAAATTACTTCTTGATACAAGTTTATATTTGTTATAATGAAGTTTGAAATAATAGATTAGGACATAAAATATCTCTCTATATAAAAGCCTAAGTGATCGAACAACCTGTTAACTGGTCACTATAATGCACGTTGACCACCAAGGGGCAGACACTCAACACAGGAGCTGCCCCCTGGTGGTCAGTGCACTCCCACAGCGGGTGTGCTGCTCAGCTGACCGACCCATCTCAGTGGCCCACCAACCTGGCACAACCATTCACTTCCTCAGTAGTCCTGCAGGTCCAATCTCTAGAGAATGAGCCAGGCATTGACAAACCACTACCCTCCTGGAGGTCTGCCTTGGGCACTGTGGCCATTTCCCCTCCCTAGAGGGGATAAAAAGAAACGATATAAAAGCAGCCACCAAGTGGCTCCTGACAACTGGTGTGAACGTCAGCAGGACGGATTCGGGTCACGAGCGGGCAAGGGTGTCCCACTGCCTGCCTGGAGGGCCGATTGCATCCCAGCTCCCTGAACCATCTCAGAAGCAGGGCTCACTGCTGGCAAGCGTCGCTGTGGTGGCGCGAGCCTCTCCTGATTGGGATTGAGTGGGCACGAGTGTGCAGCAGGCACAGCAGGCCTGGGGTGAGTGGGAGTGGCAGGAGGAGCAGCAGGTGGCGTTGGACTGCCAGTTTCTGCCCATTCCCTACAGGCCATACCAAGGGACCCCACCTTTGCACTAATTTGTGCACCGGGTCTCTAGTCTAACATAAAATTTGAATTTTAGCAATTAGGGCCATAATAGTAAGGTAAAAAATTACTAAAAAGTAAGAAATGATAACCTGTTACCTACTTACTTATAGGAACACTAGAGGCCCAGTGCATGAACTTTGTGCACGGATAGGGTCCTAGACCTGGCCGGTGATCGGGGCCGATTGGGGTCCTTCTGGCTGCCAGCTGGGGCCTTCCTTCATTATGTACCACCCCTGGTGGTCAGCTAATGTCATAGCGACCGATTGAACTCCCGGGCTCCTGGTTGAACTCCCAAAGGGACACTTTGCATATTAGCCTTTTATATATGTAGATTATTTAATTCTGTTTCAGATCTATTTAAAGTTCTTTGTATTAAGCAACAATAATAAGCACAACATTTTGGAGTATATAGCCTGTGATAACTTAGTATAGGTGGAAGCTATACTGAAGACAGACTTTTATTAAATAATTCAATGGGTGACTCTTAAATGTGTGTTGTAGAAATGTTACTTATATTTATGCACATGTAAAAATATTAAATGCTTTCATATTGATGTATTTGCAGAATCTTGGCCTTGCTCATACCACGTACTCACCGGGTGTGTGACACTGGGCCAGACCAAGTGAGCCCTGTGTACTCGGCAGTGTTTGGAGGGTATGACTACTGCCTGAAAATGCTCCTCCAGCATGGCTATAACCCTGATGCCCAGAAGTGCCTCGTCTTTGGATATAATTCTCCTCTCTGTATGGCTTTCCAAAAGGAGTATGTATATTTGCTATTTTTTATTATTTTTTTCAATACGGAGATGCATTTCCAACTGATTTTCTTTTATGATGAAGTTTAATATCTCTTAGTGCTAAATTGTTAACTTAAAAACAAACAGAAAAATTCCTCTATGCAGTTCCTTGTAAAAAGTACAGTAAAAATGAGGTGATAATGTCAGATTTTTTTCCCCTTCCCTCTTTAGAGCTGCATTATATTTTCAGTGTGGTAGTTTTAGAGAATACGTTCCCTATATTAAATAAATGTAGGAATTCTCAGATCCCCTTGGTCTCCAAAACAATTCAAGTGAAGTGGCCCTATAGAATACAATTAAAATCTGGTTTGATGACTTTAAAAGAGCTTATCAGCTATTTTCTTATGTGTGGGAACTTATAATTGGACCAAATTATGATTAGTAAGATAGTTTTTTGGTAATAAAAAATCATTGAAAGATATTATTTGTAAGCCTGTAGGGAAAAAGTTAAAACATCAAAATATCTTTTTCCTTGTCTTTCTAATTGACTTTTCATTTGCCTGGCAATGGACTTAATTTTAATACAACTTTGCCATATTTACCTACTTTGTGGAGAATTTAATTGAAGAGAAACCTTTCTCAAGGGCTAAATTTAAAAGATGATAGTATCATAATCACATATTCTTGCATGTGTATATAAAGGAATTGACTTAAGTATAATTCATAGCACAATTTTTTCATAGTAGAGAAATATCACGGTTAATTTTCCTCTCCCTATGATCCTTTCTTTATCTAGAAAGCAATATAAATTAAAATGTTAGTCTCTAGACTACATTTATATTAGCTAATGTCTAGCTATTAGTTTGCATGTCAGTCACTGTACATGTAATGAGAAAAGCATTTGCTTATTTGGGGACTCTTACAAACTTTTCTGATCAAGGAAGAAAACTGACATTCTCCTAGTAGGTTTTGTTTTAGTATATCAAGATTGTAATATTGCAGCAATTTTCTTTTCTTTTCTTTTTTTAATATATTTTTATTGATTTTTCACAGAGCGGAAGGGAGAGGGATAGAGAGCTAGAAATATCGATGAGAGAGATACATCAACCAGCTGCCTCCTGCACACCCCCTACTGGGAATGTGCCCGCAACCAATGTACATGCCCCTGACCGGAATCGAACCTGGGACCCTCCAGTCCGCAGGTCCACGCTCTATCCACTGAGCCAAACCAGCTAGGGCCAGGGCAACATTTAAAAAAATTTATTAACTTTTAAATGATGATGAGTTTAAAACTTTTGTTTTCTTATTTGTTTTTGGTATTTCTCTGAGATCTAGATGTTTAGTATTTGTGGCCTTTCTTGCACTGTTGGCTTGTTGTGTTTTAGTGAACTCTTCTATATGCTTTTACAAACAGTATAGTTGATATCATAAGGTAATAGAAATAATAGATGTAAATAATTGCTCTGAATTTTATGATTTTATTCAGCTGATTTAACTTTTTAGCTCAGGATTAGCATTCTGAGACATTTTTCCTGGGCATCTCTTTGAGAGGATGAGCTTCCATTTGAAGCAGTGACCTGTAGCTTTTCTCCTGGAAAGAGGTCTCCTCCATCACTGCACAGAAGCAGTCTTTGTCCCTCGGGGCTAAAAAGTTAACAGCTACAGTTAACATGAAAGCCATTCTTTCAAGGGCACAGTTGAGTAATTCAACTGAAATGAGAAAAAGACTCCTTTACTTAGAATGTGTAAAAGAAAAGTCGAGAAAGTTCAGGACAATTTGAACAAATATTAACACCTTTTATATATGCCTGTAGGAAGAGATCATGGCTTAACAAACCCGATTTTGTCTTTTGAATTGATACTGATCCTTGCTAGCACATTAGTTTTATAGAAATTGTATGTCCTTTCCTCTTCATCATAATCACACATAGGACCTAATGCCTTTATTTTAGCAAATGGCTAAAAATCACTCAGTAAAACTTATATGGCCTTTGATCATTCAGCTAACAAGTTGGTTAGGTATTTTGTTGGCTAATTGAATATAAAATGCTCAAGCTGTTTGCCCATTTTTGTTTAAAATCGATTTTGTTAATATGATGAATTTCCTTTTATTGTGCTGCTTTCTTTTCTGGGCACTGTTTCTGTGCAACTTTTTAAACTTCAAAGAGCAAAATAATGGAAAATGTACAGACCCCAAGATAAAGTGCAGACATTGCTTTTTAGGTTTTAAACTTCTCCTTTTTTTCAGTATTTGATAATTTTCACTGTTTATATAATGTGTAGTCTCTTAATGTGTCACATTTAGTTTGTGATGTTTATATTAGCAGACATTTGGTCCTGCCCAAAATGTTCACTGCAACATTTGGTCCAAGCCAAAAGGACCTTGACTTTATTTTAAACTTTATTGACTTTTTTTTTTTTTGAGAGAGAGAGAGAGAGAGGGAGAGAACATAACATTGATTTGTTGTTACACTTATTTATGCATTCATTGGTTTGTATGTGCCCTAACCACAACTTTGGCAAATTGGAACGATGCTCTAACCAACTGAACTACCCAGCCAGAGCAAAAGTTCCTTAAAATTTGGTCGTGTCCAAAATGTCCATGATTAAAAAACATCTGTGGGTTCAGATAGCCCATAATATTTATTTATACTTGTGGTCTCATACATAAAAAGACTACGTTTATTGATCCAGTAATTGGATTTGACTGTATTATCAATGCTTGTATAATAATGCTTCCTGCCTTGGTAGCCTTGCTGGTAATGACACATGGATATGTTATATAGGTGGGGGTGGATCAATTGTCTCCTTGGGTATTTTGATACAGAACCAAATACCAAGGACCGTATGTCTCTGTGATTGTTTTGGGCATGACCAAATGCTCTGCAAGGGTTAAATAGGATGCCCTGTTTTCCTTTTAACTTGTTTATACAATTTATTATTTAACCAAAGGTTATCTATGCCCTAGGGTTTACTGTTGCTCAGTAACATGTAATAATGAAGGTCATATAGAGCATTGAAGTTGCTTGTGTTTCTGGAGCTTATATATACTAGATGCCTGGTGCATGAAAATTCATGCACTCAGGGGGAGAGGGTCCTTCAGCCGGCCTGCACCCTCTCACAACCTGGGACCCTTCAGGTAGGGTCTCTAGGCCTGGCCTGAGATCAGGGCCTATCGGGGCTTTCCTTCCCCCTCCCACTGCTGTCACTCTTGCCATCTGTGCAGAGCTGCCCCCCTCCCCAGTCCTTGGTGTCCTCCCTCTGCAGGCAAAAGGCTGTGGTGTAATGGCTTGGCTGGCCTGGGCCTCCCTCTTTCTTTGGTGGGGCACAGGGCCAGCCCTGCGAGGGGCTGTCTGCCTACCTGATCACCCTTTAACCACTCTGCCTCCCTGTCTGATTGCCCCTAACCACTTGCTTGGGGGTGAGGCTAGCCTGGTGAGGGGCCGTCTGCCTGCCTGATCTCCCCTAACCTCTTGCCTGCCTACCTGATCACCCCTAATCACTGGTCTGCCTACCTGATCACCCCTAACTGCTGGTCTGCCTACTCGATCACTCCTAACCACTCTGCCTGCCTGATTACCCCTATTTGCTTGCTTGGAGGCGGGGCCAGCCCGGTGATGGGCCGTCTGCCTATCTGATCACCCCTAACCACTCTGCCTTCTTGTCTGATTGCCCCTAACCACTTGCTTGGGGGTGGGGCCAGCACTGACTTACAGTTGGTCAGCCTCTGATCGTTACTGGTCATTATGACCCAGGGTTTTTATATGTTATGATTTGAGACCTTCAGTCTTCTCAGAAGCTCAGGGAATGCTGACAGATTTTATGATTTTCCATTTTATGTTCATTATTCACCATATTATTGGTAGTTTTGTTGGAAATGTGTTAATAGATGTAGCATTAGGCAGTTTTATAAGCCTTTTAGCATGTGGTTTGTCTCTTCTAACATAAGGCAATAAGGTAATTGGAAGAAGTTTAGAGCTGGGTTTTCCAAAGTGCATTTTTGTACAATACTAATTCTATAGATCATTAATAAATATTACATGGGATAAAATAGTTAATTAAGTTTGGGAAGCATAGGGTTAAGTAATGTTAAATAGGTTTCTTTCTTGAAGGGCTTGAAAAGTTTGATCTTGTGTTTATAATGTTATACTACTTTGTTTACAGATTTTGGGGTATTTTCTTACTTTTTATTATGCTTATTTCAGGTTAATAATTGAATTCTTTGCTTTAATTTTAAAGGTATTCTCTGGTTTCTGGAGGTTTTAGCATATAACTTGAAAGTATAACTAGCATACTGTTTAAAAATATATTTACCTTGTATTTCTTTTTTTGGAATCACTCTGTATTATAGAGTTTCTCAAATATTTTCATTTTGGAGCCTTTTTTATACGGATCATTTTCAGGGACTAATGTTTCATGCAACAAATATTTATACAATGCTAATTCTGTGTTCCAGGAAGATTAAATGACTTATTCAGAGTCCCATAGTTAGTATGTAGTTGAGCAGGCTGGCTTCGGTCCTTGCTCTTACAGCTTTGCTATGATACTTCTTTTGATACATCTTGCCAGTTAGCTCTCTCAAAAAAGGATTTGCACTTATTTTCAATCAGTTTAACCAGAACTTACCGATATTGGATGATAAACTATTAAGAAAACAGCAACAGCTTAATAGATTAAAAATGATGTACTTTTGCCGAGACCGGTTTGGCACAATGGATAGAGCATCGGCTTGGGGACTAAAGGGTCCCGGGTTCGATTCCAGTCAAGGGCATGTACATTGGTTGTGGGCACATCCCCAGTGGGGGGTGTGCAAGAGGCAGCTGATCGATGACTCTCTCATCGATGTTTCTAACTCTCTATCTCTCTCCCTTCCTCTCTGTACAAAAAAATATAATATATTAAAAAAAATGATGTACTTTTATTCTGTAAAAGTACATGATAAAGTAGATTAATTTAGAAATGAAGCTATAAGTTAAATGTTTTTTAATTAAAAACAGCTTTTCTAGATGATTATATTTTACCATTAGGAATTTGAAAGTAAAGGGCACATTGACTAAGGTTATTGCTAAAGGAAATGGTGTTTTGGCGATTCCTAGAATGAGTCTTTAGAGACAGATTACACTGTTTAATAACTTGGTTTGGTAAATATTTTGTATTAGAGATACTTAATTGTATAAAAATATCACAGTTTTGAGAAATTTTCTATTTGTCAATGATAATTTTTAAAATTATTTACTTAAGATGAATGTTTAGAATCCTAAGGGCATCATGTGCTTATAGTTAAAAATTAAAATCCATGCGGGGGTGGGGGGGGGTGGAAATTAAAAAGTAAAACCCTCCCTGTCCCTAGTTCCCTACTCTCAAATATACTAGATATGTAAAAATTACCCACTATCCCATATGCTGTTCTTATTTTCTAGCTGTAACTACTAGTAATTATTTGTAACATTTATTTTTTTTTATGCAAAAGTCTAACTTCTTTTATCTCTCTCTTTTGATGGAGCGGTGAATTTTTTGGAACTGTGAAAATTCTTTTTAAATATGGAGCCAATCTAAATGAACGTCATTTGGGATACTGCCTGAAGTATGAGAGGTTTTCAGTATTTCATTACTTTTTGAAGAAAGGTTGCCCATTGCCATCATGGAATCATATGTCTGAATTTATAAAGCATGCAATTAAAGCACAGACAAAATATAAGGAATGGTTACCATCTCTCCTGCTTGCTGGATTTGACCCACTGAATCTTCTATGCAATTCTTGGTAAGAAATCCCTACAATAGTGGACTTTACCTTTTTGAGTGAATATACTATATTTAAGTTCCCTCAATTTCTTGAGATCTGGTGTTGGGATGAGTATGTGTGTGTATGTGACTCTGATGGCTAGATTGGGGGGCTGCTAATAGCGAGATTAAATGTAGGGATAAATTCCTAAAAAAGGTAGGCCATGACTGGTAGGGAGTAGAAAGGAATTATGCCTATGGTATATAGAAGCAAAAGCAAAGTTAGATACACATTCTCTCATCTCCACGTTACTTTTTGTTTAATTTACAGAAGGTTGAGTCACTGATTGTATTAATGCCAATAAACATTTCTGAGACGGATATTTCTTCTACTTAGATCACCACTCATGCCCCCATTAAAATTCCTCTGACAGAATGTAGCTGCTTTGTAGTCTTCTGGTATCCCCTAGTCAGCTAGGCTGAGTCCTCCTGTTCTACAGCATTTTGTGTATTAACGTTGTCTCCCTTACTAAGTGCTAGTTTCTGAAGCAGCTGAGGATTAAACTTGTTTACTTCAGGTAGTTCCTCGGAAGGGTAGCCTCTACAAGTGATTATAGGAATATTGGGTCCGGATTTTTCTTGGGCAAGAAGAGGAAAACCTTTCCACTGCCAGCCTCTAGCCTTTGTAAAAGTTGTCAGTGTCTAGTCAGGGCTGAGATGATAGTTGTAGCAGGGAGAAAACTCTTTTGACCTGATAATTAAAGTGGGAAGATAAAATACAACTCCCTAGGAAAATAGAGGACTAGGGGTATTTTATAAAATTTCAATAAAACTTTCTTAAGTTTTGTGCTTCAGAAACTATCATTTACTAAAATAATGTTTAAGCATATATTGAGGTTTTCTGTGTCAGCAGAAAAAGTATTTTGATATTTTGTTATTTATCTTTTCAAAAGAGGTTCATCCAGGTAACTGAATGGTCCCTACTTGTAAATTTAGTTTGGATTGCTGGAGATTCTGTTTTATACCCGGTGGCTTCCCCATCTGTATGTGAAGAGCAGGTCTTTATTTGGCAATATTCCCGTATTTCCCCTTTTTATTATATCTGCCAATGTAAAGAATTCAGTAATTTTCACTCAGCAGAGGTTTTCTGCCTAGGGCTTTGTTGTAGCTGGTTTGAGGAATATAGAAGCAAAAGCAAATTTAGATACACATTCTCATCGCCATGTTAATTTTTGATTAGTTTAGAGCAGGTTGAGTCCCTGATAGTATTCACTCCTTTCTCCAATTGCTGATTAATACATAGTTATCTGTCAAATGCTCATTTGTGCACTTCCCTCTGTATTTTTTCAATACATTTTCACTGAAACATTGTATTTTTAAGATAATTGAATGAAAAAAAAAGATTATTGGGAGTTTATTTAGCAATCTTTGATTTTAAAAAGTTATTTGTATATATATACTGTACTTATTTATTAACAGATACACACTCACACACACGTAACTGAGATATAAACACTCGCTAATGAATGCTGTGTCTAGCTGTTAACAAAGCTATTTAAGTACCCTTAGTATTTTACTTAGTGAATTTTATTGTTGTGTTTGGGCACCTGACAGCTAGCCGCAGTTGCCCCTTACCATTCTAGGATTTACCCCTAACTCTAGCCCAAAAGACAGGTGGCTAAGGACAGACAGCCTTGACAGTGTGTCCCCTTTACTCTCTTTTTTAAAAAAAAATATATTTTTATTAATTTTTTACAGAGAGGAAGGGAGAGAGATAGAGAGCTAGAAACGTCGATGAGAGAGAAACACCGACCAACTGCCTCCTGCACATCCCCTACCGGGGATGTGCCCGCAACCAATGTACATGCTCCTGACTGGAATCGAACCTGGGACCCCTCAGTCCGCAGACTGATGCTCTACCACTGAGCCAAACTGGTTTCGGCCCCTTTACTCTCTTCCCTCACTTGGTGCTTGTCCCCAAGGCACCACTTTCTTCTCAGCCACACCCTTTGCGTTCTCCTCTTGAAGCTACTAACTCAGTTCCATATTACTTGACTATTACTTTCAATTCTCTGGTTTCTAGTATATGTATTTCTTTAACCAACACTTCCTTAACCAACACTTAGAATATTACCTAACACATCGTAGGCATTATTTTAAGTTCTTTATAGTAACTTATCCTATATAATAAAAGCCTAATATGCTAAGTGTCTGGTCATCCGTTCAACCAATCTAAGTGTAATATGTTAATGATATGCTAAGGCAGCTCAACTGCTCGCTATGATGTGCACTGTCCATCAGGAGGCAGACGCTTCGACCAGTAGATTAGCTTGCTGGTGGGGTCTGGCCAATCGGGACTGAGTGTGACTGGCCAGACATTCCCTGGAGCCTGCCTGTGGTCCTTCCCTGGCTGGACAACCTCCCACATTCCTTCCCAGCCCTGATTTTGCACCTGTGGTGTCCCTTGGCGTGGTCTGCGCCCTCTTGCAATTTATGACTCCTTGGGGGATGACAGAGAGCTGATTTCAGCCCAATCCTGTAGACCAGGCTGAGAGACACGAATTCATGCATCAGGTCTCTAGTTTACTATAAAATACACTGGATACTATTATTTCTTTTTACAATTGATATACACTAATTAACATACTTGCCAAGCTCACACAGCTACTTAGTAGAACTTAGTTTTGAACCCAGATTGTCTTGTTGTATGGCTCAAGCCTGTCTTTCTAATCACTGTGCTATGCTGCCTTAGCCTGTGTATTCATGGGGATGTGGTGGTTATATCACATGATTTCAGGTATTTTAATCGTTTGCCTATCTTGGGGTATCTGTTCCATTTTATCTTGCTCTGGTTTGCTCCTCAATTAGGAAGAACCTATGCAGGGGGAAAAATTAAGTATTGCCCTTTTTCCTTTTCTTCTCAGCCAATTACATAGACTACTGGAAGGAGAGGAAATTATTTAGATTTATTCTCCTAGAAGGTTTTGTAAAACAAACTCTCCCATTCAGTTCTGAGAGGCCTCCTTCCCCCCAATGTAAATAGCCCATTTGATAATTTTTGTGGTAATAAGCCATTAAATATAGTATAAGCTATATTTATTTATTGGATGGGTTAGAATATGAAGGAATTAAGAACCCATAAAATACAAATTTCTTTGAAGTAAATTGTAAAACTTGCAGCTATCTGGATTGCGAATGCCAGTTGCATATAGTTGACTCAGAAGGGGTAACTATATTCATTAGAAAATTTCACTTAAAAAAAAAGCTTAACATGATCAAATTTTTGTTCTCTGATATTTTATTGAGTGGATAAAGCCAGTGTTTACACTGAATATGATAAATGTTTTGCTTCCTTTGATCAAATTTACATTCATAGATAGAGCTGTTATAAGAAAAATTCTTCCATAAAATTCCAATATGCTGTTAAACTGGATTTTGGTTATATCTTATTTATATCACATGTAAGTCAGTTGTTTAATCTTTGTCATGTAAATTATACATGTCTTTCCTAGGTATTTTTTGTCTTAAATGTTCTTTAAAAATGTATCTGGCTGAATAATTGCCTATCACAATATATTCTACAGAGTTGAAATATTTTTTCAACTTTAAATGCAACACTAGGTGCCTCCAACTGAAATAATAGGAAGTAAATGTCACCCATGCATTTAGTTGATTAACTGTCATTCATTTATGATTGTACAACTGCTTTGTACTAGGTAGTGGTCAGCGTAGTACAGTAATAATACATTTTTAGTGGCATTATCAGCATTGGTAAAATTAGTTATTTTATCTGAAGCCGTGTAAACAGATTTATTTTGTGTGTGTGTGTGTGTGTGTGTGTGTGTATGTGTTTAGGTAACTGAGTAAAAATGACTTAGTATTTGGTCCCAATGTGACTTAAAGCACATTAATACAGAAAAATGAAACCATTACAAAAGAAATAAAGACCCAGAACCAAGTAACCCTTGGTGTGGAGTTCCTAGAAAGTCAAGCAATTTTTTTTTGCCTTTGAATGTACTTTATCATTTTATTTGTTCTAGTATTTCCTCGAAGTTGTGATTTAATTGAAAGGTTCTTGAGAAGTGAAATTTTTTCCTAAAGCATTTGTGCAAGATCGAGTTCTTTGTTAAATAAAAGTCTGCGTATTAGAGAATTAAGAATTTGGTAAATAATTTTCATACTCTGATAAGTCATTTCTGATTAGTCAGTCACTTTGACCCTGGATTACAAAAAGTAAATTGTTTTTGAGATGACAAGTTTAAAGCATTTTATTCAGTTTCTTTTTTTCTTTTTACTTCCCTCTTCTTTAGTCCTTGCTCAGTAATGAGTCCAAACAATCAACAAACCAAAAAATGATCTTGAAAAGAATTTTTCTTTTTAAAGTAATTACTAGAGGCCCTAATCACTTTCTTTTTCTTTAGACAGTGTGATGGCAGGGGAATACCTAATTGAGTAATTGTCAGAATGTATAGTTCTCATTAAACTTTGACTAAATTTCATGTTATCAGGCCCAATGAAAATTTCAAACCAGTTCTAGTAATATCAAACATTTATATTATGTTTCATAGTTTTAAAAATATCTTTACTGTATTTTCTCATATTATTTCACAATTAGTCCACTGCAATAGGCATTATTCTCATTTTAGAGGACTTGAAGAATTTCAGCAACATGTTTGTAAATAGTGGAGGTATATTAGAAATCAGAAACTGTCTTAGACCAGTGCTCTTTCCATTAGATTCAAATGCTTATAAAATTTGGGGAAATCTCTTTTGGGTAGGTTGGTAGGAAATCTGAAATTATTTTGTAGAAATAGAGGGAGAACTGTTCTGAAGACTTGCTTTTGGTTCTTAGAGACAAAACTGACTCTGCTACATTCTTTAGAGCTGAATCTATAATGCAGAAGGTTCTTAGAGGAGAGCAGTTGCACATTCCTGGGAGTTGGGCAGAAACAAGCTGTCTCTCCCGTATATTTAGTTTAGGGATGAATTTGGGTATTTGTGCTTTTTCCTTTCAGGACTTTTAAAGCAAGTTGTCCCATTTGGGAGGAGATAATGGCAAATCTGCTGAGGATACTGAGGATACTGGTTGCTGTATCTTTTCTTAACACTGCTGCTGGGGAGTGGGAAGGAAAATTCCTACCCTCTCTGAAAGTAGCGTTTCCTCCTGTCATCTATTAAACAACCCACACAGAGCCAATTCTGTTTGCTTTAACAACCTATAGATGATTATTCATATCCACTGAACTTGCCTCCAGTTACGTGAATATTTTCTGTGCTGCAGTTTTCTGCCTTCCATAGTAAGGTGTTGTAAGAATAGGTACGTGGTGTTTATTTTCAGATGAATCCTTGATGTATTTTGTGTCTAATGATGCATTAACATCTTGCTAATACAGGATTGACTCAGTCAGCGATGACACCCTTATCTTTACTTTGGAGTTTACTAATTGGAGGAGACTTCCTCCAGCTGTTGAAGAGAAGCTCTCTGCTCGTGTCTCAAATTCCTCGTGGGCTCTACAGCAACATATTGGTAAGAAAGTACAATTTTTAGAGACACGTAACTATGTTTTCTTCTCTTCCTTCTCTAGCTATATTGTAATTTTAAGTAATGAGAGTTGTCGGAGAATATTATATATTAAGTAGGGCATTATTTGCATTTTCTTTATGTGGAGAAAGGATGGGACTGGGAAGGGGGATCATAATAATTTCCTTCAACAAAAATTATATTTGATTTTATAAGGTTAGCCTAAAGGGCATATAAAGAAAAGGAGGTATTTACTGATATTTTTATTTAATGATATTCTTTTAGTTTTAGTATGGATTATGTAAACAAAATGAGTCCTATAAATCTTGTTAGTGAATGTTTAGTTTGTTAGAAAAAATGCTAAGCTTAATTTTCTTTTCCAGGATATGTTTGTATTTGAGTTCTTTCTTAAAATATTTTATCGTTTATAAAAGGAAGTATTACCATTTTTTATTTTTACCTGTCCTTACTGAATGCATGCTGATGTGTTGGTATAAGTATGGAGGTGAGCTGGGTGAAAATTCTATGAATTGATTGATATTTTATATGACTTTTAAAACAAATTCTCAAATTACTCTCAAATTGATATTTTATGACTGTTTTAAAATAACTTCTCAACTTACCTTAGCTTATTAAAAAGTTTTTAAGCCTTGGCTAGTGTGGCTCAGTTGGGCACCGTCTGTACACTGGTTTGATTCCCGATGAGGGCACATGGCCAGGTTATAGGCTCAGTCCCCAGTAGGAGGCATGCAGAAGGCAGCTGATCCATGTTACACACTCACATTGATGGTTCTCTCTTCTTCATTCCTCTCTCTCTAAAAATCAATATAGTATTTTTAAAAAAGTTTATAAGCTAATTAAAACAATTACAGAGCATGTAGTAGGAGATTTTACACAAGGAAACCAGTTTAAACTAAACATAACATATGCAAATATTCCTATTTTGTTACTCAGATATATTTTACTTTCACTTCATTTTGTTTACCAGATTATGTATCTTAAGAAAATTATTTCTTCCCTGCTATTTTTACATGAAATGTAACTGCATAAAACATGTTGAATAGGCTTTTAACAAGTGAGCTTATGCATATGTAGAAATGTCTTATTTCTCAGATAATTACATTTAAGTAAATTTTCTCAATCAAAAACCAGATTTTCAGGAGAATATGCTCTTGAACTGAGATGTATTCAAACTGTTGGAGAGGTTTCTGTTGAAGAAAAAAGTAATCTGGTTTCTCTGAGCCTTCTAGTGCATAATTTTTAAAGTGGTAATGTTGGAAAACTCACTGGCATGCAGTTCTTAATGTTGAGAATTGCATGAGCTTTTACTAATTATGTATCTTCAGCAGTAGAGGACAGTTATCCATTCAGAACAGATAGACTACGGGGCAATGGACTTGGGAACAAAAAATCAAAAGAGCATATGCCAAATGGGAAAATTATTGCAGCTTATTAGTAAAGATATGTGAGAGTTTACTTGGAAGACTTTAACATACATCAGGTTTGTCCAGATGGAGGTAAAAATTGTGTATGAGTACATTACCCTGCAATAGACTGGATCCATCCAGGGCTTCGTGTTTAGGCACTAGGTAAAGGTTGTGTAAGGTAATAATCATCATCTTAGGTCATTTGAATGTAGCAGAGGGCAGGCCAGTAATGTATGGTTTTGGGAAGTATAGATAAGTGGGTATGTGCAATGTATGTGTAGTTCTGGCTATTGTAGAGCTGGCATTAATAAGCATGATGCATAAAGAATTGGGTTTATTTTGATCATTGTTTTGATTTTAATAAAACTTCCTGTAACAAGTACTCTATTTTGGATCATTCTTCTGTCAGTACATACAACCAAGTAAACAAAATTGGAGAATTCCATATAAGAATAAAAGGTTAAAGGTTGCCTGTCTGCCAGTAGATCTATAGATAAATTTGATTTAACATACTAAATTGAAAAATGGGTCAGAAAAGTAACTTAAAATTACAGCATGATTTCAGCCATCATTTTCTAACTACAATTAGTACCGCACTCCAAGGAGGAAGAGATTTATTTAACAAATTGAAATCTGGTTTTAACAGGTTTTCATGAAAGTGTGTTTTACCTACAGCTTCTGGGCTTCTTCATACAGGGCATGGCTCCATCTTCTCAGCCTCGTGGCAACACATCTGGGAATGCTATGCATCACTGAAACTTTCACAGGAATTTTGTGTGATTTTAAATATCGCTTAAATGGTTATAAAGTTCCCTTATTCACTGGCATAATAAACTAAGATGGCACTGATGGGTATATTATATGTGTTAATAATCTACAGATGAAAGACTGCTTCCGTTCAAATGAATATGGTTTAGACCTCTAATTGTTCATCAGGCCAGTGATCTATTGTGCTCATGGGGGGTAGGAGGGATCAAAATGGTGCAATTAAAGTTAGGGCCAAAATCTGGAATAACTATGCTATTTCATTATTATTATTACTATTATTATTTATAAAGATCTCCTTAAAGTTTCAGTGGCTTAGACGATGTTAAAGAATTATTTTGGGTTTAATTACAGTTTAAAGAACCTTAGACTTTAAGTCAAATTACTTGATCCTGGTATCAGATATGTTGTTGATTGACAGTGTCAACATGGGCCAGTCACTTAAGCTTTCCATAACAAATGTGTACTGGTCCAGTTTGGCTTCCACACATATTTAGCATAAACAAATAAATAGGTTTTTTTTAGCTTTAAAGGGAGGGTTATTGTGATGCAGTCAGATGACCCGGAAAGGCTTGTCGGCGCTGCAGAAGGCTGCGGGGCAGCAGCGGAGCTCCCCTCAGTCAGCCCAAGGAGTTTGTAAGCGAGCATAGTCTGTCAAACGGAGAAGCTGGAGAAGCACTAAGGATCCCTCATACCTGAGTGAGCAGTTCTCTGGGCCGCACAGCCACCCTTTATCTGTATTGTGGGTGTGTGATAGGGGTCTACATTAATAAGAACATGCAGAATGAAGAAATGTCAGTTTAATAGCCAACCTCACTTTTACCCAGGCACTTGTCAGTTCCTCTGTCAGTCTCATCACTGTCTGTGCCCATGGCATGCTCAGTGTCTGCTGCTGGTAGGCTACTCTCTAGTATGCCACCATACTTCCGTCCTTAGCAGGGACATTTATGACATTTGTTCCTTTTTTGTCAGTGGTGGGGTACGTCCGGTCTGTGGGACATATAAGGCCTGTGAAATCATTTGGTCTGGCCCTGCCAAAGCTTTAGGGTGAGTTAATTAAATGTTTGACCAAATATAGCAGGCTAATTTTCAAGTGGATAAATTTGTATGTCCCTCAAACGATGTTATAAAAATCCAAGTGGCCCTAGGCAGAAAAAAGGTTCCCCACCCTTGTAATAGGTAATAGTTGAACATCGTTAACCTACTTGTTGAAGTTGAATCTGCTTACTCCTTTAGAAAACTAGGAGGGAGGTGGTAGTGGCAGTTTGGGTATGCTCTCCATATGTATTCTTGCTAAGCCCTCCAGTGCTCCCTTCACCAGTGTTTTCCCATCTTAGGAGTGAGAGTGATGATACTTCCTTTAAGTTTAAAGAACAGGGTAAAGTTTAAATGAACACGAAAACACTGGAAATAAATGTGCTATATATTATAGATTTCTAGTATGTTGTCTGATCTATAATGGGGAGTCTGTGACTCATGGTTTAAGAAAATACTCATCTTTTTTTTTTAGACTTAGGTTTAGGTTTATGTAAAATCAGATCATTGTTTTGCATTTCTTATTTGGCATTTTGAAACACTGTGGTTCAAGGAGTTTCTCAGACTTTGGTAAATTAAACTAAACTCAAACCAATAAGCTTAAAGTAAATTATAAGATGATGGATTAACTTTCGTGGTTTAGAAGATATTAAAGATTTTAGAGAATTAGTATGACCCAGGCCCTATGAGGATTTACAGTTTAAAGAACCCTCAACTTGGAGTCATACCAGCTGGTCTGGTATCAGCTGGACTCTTGATACTATTTGTCCTTGTTGTTCTGATCCTGGTCTGTTAATCATTGCTACTGTTCATGGGGATTTATACAAGATTTTTTGGATTAATAAAAGGCGTTACATTTGATTCACATAAAACCACTAGCTATTTTTAGTACTTTCCATGTCCGTGGACATTTTCTTTAGGGGACACTTTTCATCCTGGAAAATGAAACTGCTATTGTATGATTCTTAATTAAGTGCATGTGGACTATATTTTAATTGGTAATTAGCTTTGGCACAGTGGTTTTAGTATGTGCATTCACACTCGTGCTTTAGGGTCAGACGCACTTGAATTTGAATCTTGAGTCTACCACGTGTTAGATGTATGACCTTTGGAAAGTTACTTAAACCTCTGTTTTCTTATTTTTGTAGCATAGGGTAATGAAGCTTAAAAGAGAATGTGTGTGAAGTGTATGGGCATATGGCATGCATTTTTCTCTCTGTCAATTTTGAAATTTCATTCTATGTCATGGACAAGAAGAGAAAAACTTTTGTAAGATACACATTTATTCACTTAACTAGAGGTCTGGTGCATGAAATTCATGCAGGGGGAGGACAGTGGTCCCCGCAGCCCAGCCTGCACCCTCTCTAATCCGGGACCCTCTCACAGTCCTGGACTGCTGGCTCCTAATCACTCACCTGTTTGCCTGCCTGGACACCCCTTACTGCCCCTCTGCTGGCCTGGTCGCCCCTAACTGCCCCTCCCTGCTGGCCTGGTTGTCCCCAACTGCCTTCTCCCCACCCCCGCTGGCGTAGTCACTCCTCACTGCCCCCACTGCCAGCCTAATTGCCCCTAACTGTCCTTCCCCCCCGCGCAGGCATGGTTGCCCCCAACTGCACACCCCTACCCACTCTTTAGTGCTGCCCCTGCCAGCATGGTCGCCCCAATTTCCCCCCCTGCAGGCCTGGTCATCTCACACAGCCTGCTTGTTCAGTCGTTTCGTCGCTCCTCACTCCGCTGCCAGCCTGGTCACTCTGCACAGCCTGCTTGTTTAGTCATTTGGTTGTCTCTCACTAATCCTCTTGCCCGCCTGGTTGTAGGCAGCTATCTGGTGAGGGCGTGAGGGTCAATTTGCATATTACATATTTATTATATAGGATATGCTAAGTCTGGATGGAGATGACTTGCAAAGAAACAGAACAAAAAAGGGATGTAACGTTTGTTGTGACCTATCATTTTTAAGGTTAATTTTTTAAAATATTTTTTAAAATTATTATCTGTGTACATATTTTAACATTGCCCCCCCTCCCATACATACCCTCCCTCCCCAGAGTTTTGTGTCCATTGGTTGTACTTATATGCATGTATACAAGTCCTTCAGTTGATCTCTTATTAAGGTTAATTTTTTAAATACAAATAGGTATTGCCAGATCTTTAGAATTTGAACATTTAATTTTATATGGCTCTGGGTATTGGCTTTACATGTGTGGCCAGCAACTAGAGAGAGAGGAACCAGGTGAAGACTGTAAAACAGAGTTTATTGCTGTCATCCTGGCCCAAGCAGTCTTTCAAAGACCAAGTAACATATCACTTCTCTTTTACTACATAGAGATGAGAGGGAAAAGGCATTTACCTTAATGTTTAAAATTTTTTCATCTTCCTTGTTTGGTTTGTTTCTCCAGCTGCTGTTCCATCCCTGACCCACCTTTGTCGTTTGGAAATTCGGTCCCTTCTAAAACCAGAACATCTACGGTCTGATAAGTTTATCCGTCAGTTGCCACTACCCAGAAGCCTACATAATTACCTGCTCTATTCAGATGTCCTGAGGATGAACGAAGTTCCCGAACTGGCAGTTAATCAAGATGGAGAAACCAGCGAAGCTACTTAACACTTATTCTGTCTTACTCTGAAAACCACCAAGACTTCAGAAGCATGGAGAATAAAGTATTCATGATTTTATAGGCTCAAAAGATTATTTTCGTTTGAGTGGTTGGTTAGGTTTTTTATGGGTGGTATTAGTTTGATGCAACGAGGGCCTTCCTGGTAAAAAATATTTAAACCCAGCTTACATTACTTTATTACAATTTCATCACCAGTAAATTTAATTTGTGATATTCATTTATCTAACCAGATGGTGCTTCTAGTGCTAAACATGGCATATTTCCACCTATGATTCTGTGTTTATGTGGGGCTACGAGCTTAGAATGGAATGAATTAAAACTTCACTGGAAGTGTACACACAGTGGTAGAATTTATTACTATTAATTTATTTGAGGTTGAACATCTCATATTTATAAAAGAATTATATTTCATTCTTATCTCTTCAGTCACTTTTGTGAAGAATTGATATTGGTTTCACACAGGTAAACTCAGGAAAGAATTTAAAAAAAAAGAATGTTGAAAATGAATCATTTTGCTCTTGTTTTTTTCTTCTCTTTTTTTTCAGTTTCTTGATAGTCTCTCTGCCTAAAAAGACTCTCTTTCTGCAAAGGCAAGAACAGATGTAACCTCAGTTAAAAAAATTAGGTTGTTATTGGGATAAATAGGCATTTTGCCACATTTAAAATACTAAACAGGATACTGGGAGGGCAGAAAGGTATGTATTGCTGTGTCACTTAATATCACATACAAACATTCAAGCTCCATTCAGCCTCCAAATCAGAGGGCAGCTTTGATCCTATGAAGCAATTGTCAATTCTCTTAATATTATAGCATTTTTTTATTTTATTATCTACATAGGTTGTCAAATAGTCCATGAAATTTAGACCTCAGAGTCCTAGGTTAATGAGACATCACCTCATTGATTTTACAGTTGCTCATTCTGAATCTAGAATCGGAGAGGACTGAACACTGGATCAAGTGAGCTATGATAAGAAGCTCTGGGGACCAACTTTGAGAGAAAGGTTATGAAAGCATTACCGTCATGATAGACAGCTAGATGGGGTCCAAAGGAGGTCAAGTCTGTGTCCTATTATGATCCTACGGCTTAAAATAGATGGAAATGGGTCAGCAGGTCCATCTCTGATGGTCCTTTGCTGTTTGATAAAAGCAGCAATGAAGGCAGGCCAAGTGATGGAGGCATTGTTAATGTCCAGACTGAACTCGGTGATGGTTAGAACTATAGTTGCTGCCTGTGGAGTGAGATAGAGTTTGAATGTGTGTGTACAGGCAGAAAACCAGGTGGAAATTCTGATACTTAATTTAATAAATTCCAAGAATGTATTTGCTATGTAGTATTTTTAAAGTGTTGTCCTAATCTTCATTTTTCCAAACTCTTAAGTTTCTAATTTTGTGCATAACCAGTTTTTTTTCCTAGGGCTAAATGTACATAAAATGTTTACGTTTGAGAGTGAGTCTTTTCATCTGTTTTTGTTCATTGTTCAAATATGTAATAAAAATTCAGCTCTTCATAACTTATCATTGAGCTCTTATTCTTAAAAATCTGAAAATTAATATTTCAGAGACATTTAAAGCCCTTGGTTTTAAAACAAGTGATTTTACATTCTGTGTATAATATCTTTCAGACAGTTTTATAATAAAATATGAGTTTATGACCTATAGCAGAGAGTCAGTGAGAAATCTGAAAGAATCTAATGGTGGGTTAGTTAAGAGTTACAATTTCTGATCAAAATGAGACATCTAGTTAGTGTGATGCTTAGGCTCTGCCCTGCAGGCACAGTGCTTCAATACTGTTTAACATGGTGAGCCTAATGAGGAACACCATGCAATAGTTCTTTAATGGTGGTACATATTACCAGAGTATCACAGATCAGCTATAATGGCAGTTGCCAAGAGTTCACACTTCCTTGATCTGATGTTATCCTTTAAGTATATTTCCTGCTGATCCTTCCTGTTACAAGATATCATTCGATATAAGTGGTAACCTGGACACTGTTCCTTTAAAATTTACTCTCCCTTCACCAAGTAAAACAGGTGTTGATTTGCAGCTTTCTGTTGGCCCAACTTCCCAGAGATCAGTTATTCTCCTATGTTCCATGATCATCTATGACTGATAATCCTTGATAGGCAGTCTGTGTCATATTTATATCATACTAAAGGCCCGTTGCATGGATTTGTGCACTGGTGGGGTCCTTCAGCCTGGCCTTTGCCCTCTCAGCAAACCGGGACCCCTCAGAGGATATTGAACTACCGGTTTCAGCCTGATCCCTGCAGGCCAGGCCAAGGGACCCCGCTGGTGCATGAATCCATGCACTGGGCCTTTAGTATGCATATAAGATCTTTGGTTAATCTCTTTCTGCCCTCCCCCCTCCCCACTTCCCTCTGAGATTCATCAGTCTGTTCTGTTTCCAGGCCTGTGCATTGAGCATCTGCCCCCTAGTGATCAGTGCTTGTCATAACTAATGGTCGAATAGTTGAACAGTTACTTAGACTTTTACACACACACACACACACACACACACACACACACACACACACACTAGAGGCCTAGTGCATGAATTTGTGCACAGGTGGATTCCCTTGGCCTGGCTGGTGATTGGGGCTGATCAAGACCTATCTCATCCAGTCCCGATTGTGCTGAGTTGGGTGGGAGGTTGGCCGGCCAACCCCAGTTGGGCCAATCAGGGCCTACTGGCTGAAGGTAGGGGTCACGGGAGGTTGGCTGACTGAGGGAGGTTGGCTGTGGGAATGCCTTGACCACCAGGGAGTAGCTCCTGCATTGAGCGTCTACCCTCTGGTGGTCAGTGCTCATCATAGCAACCGGTCGTTCAGTCAACTGGTCATAAGGTCACTTAGGCTTTTATGTATATAGATAGATAACCAGTTGGTAACTCATTCTTTACACCTAAGTCCAACTGTAACTTATGTGAAAATTGCAATGTTTATGGATCTTTAAGTATTGTGTCAGGTACAGTTTGAAGACATATGGGTATTTTTTTGTTTAATCATCATGTTTAATGAGGATATTTTTCCCCTGTTGATTTTTAGAGAAAGTGGAAGATGGAGCGGGAGAGAGAGAGAGAGAGAGAGAGAGAGAGAGAGAGAGAGAGAGAGAGAGAGAGGGAGAGAAACATTTGTGTGGGAGACACATTGATTGATTGCCTTCTGCACTCGACCCTCCCTAGGGTGGGATCAGGCTTGCAACCCTGGTGCATGCCCTTGACTGGGAATTATACCCAGATCCTTTGGTCTGCGGGCCAACATTCTAACCACTGAGGAAAACTTGCCAGGGCAACATGAGTTTTGTTTTGTTTCTTAGTTAATCCTCACCTGAGGATATTTTTCTATTGATTTTTTTTTTTTTTTTTTTTTTTTTTGAGAGAGAGTGGAAGGGAGAGAGAGGGACAGAGAGAGAGAAACATTGATGTGGAAGAGACACATGGATTGGTTGCCTCTGCATATGCCTTAACCAGGACTAGGGATCGAGCCTGCATCCAAAGTACATGCCCTTGACCGGAATTGAACCTGGAACTGGCTAGACTATATTTCTTAATCATAGAAATATATGTTTGTAGAAGAACTAACTCTTTGGTACAATTATTACTAGCAGGTGCCTACTCTATTTTGGAAAGACTTTAAATGGTGAAAATGGTTACAAAGCTAGTAAAGTTGCTAGTAATGTGGCTGTTTTTAGTTTCATGGTCATTGTTTTAGATCTAACAATTTGAAGGAATAACCAGTCAGACTATGCACTGTCTTCTAATTTCACAAGTTCATTATCTATATAAAGCAAGTGGAAGCTGAGCCCAGGTGCTTCATTCATATATTCAATTTAATGAGAATCTCTAAGCCATAAGGGATCTGTAAGCTTTTCCTGTGAACTGGGAATATTTTAATAGTATCTAAGGTACTATGAATTCCTCTGAAATTCCCTGTACTAGAGCACTTGCCTCTTTCCAGCTCTCTTATCCCAAGTAGCCAGTTACACATAACAGATATCAAGACTAAGGTATAGGTGAGAGCCCAAGCCAAGAGATCTCATTACTCATGATTCTATATGATCTGGGGTAGTTATCTGTAAGGTAGCTAAGAGTGGTGTACCTGCATCAGGAAAGGAGTGCTACATTCTATGAGCTAATGTTGTCTTTCTGATTTTACACCCACACAGTCTTGCTACAATAAGGCTGAGTTTCATTACTTAAGGTAAATATGGCCTATTCTTGAGGACTTAAGAGTTTTGCAAGCATTATTTTAAATATTAGAGGCCCGGTGCATGGATTCATGCACTGGTGGGGTCCCTGGGCCTGGCCTGTGGGGATTGGGCTGAAACCAGCCTGGTGCATGGATTTGTCCAGGGCGTGTCTGGCCTGTCTCACCCACTCCCGATTGGCTGGACCCCAACAGCAAGTTAACCTACTGGCTGGAGCGTCTGCCCCCTGGTAGTCAGTGCACGTCGTTGCGACTGGTTGAACAGTTGGACACTTAGCACATTAGGCTTTTATTATACAGGATGATTAATTTTCAGCCTGGTCGATGTGACTCAGAGGTTGAGTATCACCCTGTGAACTAGGAGGTCATGGTTCGAGTCTTGGTCAGGGTACCTGCCCAGGTTGCAGGCTTGATTCCTGGTGTGGAGTGTGTGGGTGGCAGCCAGTCAATGATTCTCTGTTATCACTGATGTTTCTTTCTCTTTCTTTCCCTTCCCCTCTGAAATAAATAAAATATATTTTAGAAATGATTAATTTTTTTTAAATTACTTTAAAACTATTATGCTTTTAAAATCATGATAGTTTTACAAACATGCTTTCCCTTGCTCTGTATCCTTTTTCATTGTTTTAACAAAACATTTAAAGGAAATTGAATATTTCTGTGTGCAACTGTTGACTCTCTTTCCTTGTTTCTCTGTTTGAGGCAAATTAGTTTGTTTATCCTCATCTGTATTTATTGTTGTTTTTAAATGACAAGTAGTTATTAAAACACAATACCTTA